GCCAGGCAAAAATAATAGTTTTGTTAAAGACCAAAATACTTGTACAAATATGTTAAATGGTCTCAGAAGATCTAACTAATAATTCATTGTGGACTTTTAATGTATTGTTAAGAAAAAAACAACGTATATCTTTGCCAAACACGACTTAATTTCAATAAATAGATACAAAATTTAAAAGAAATTATGCTATGTTGATATCAATTGTTAGATACATATATGCACTCTTACAACTTTAAGAAACTTCAATCAAGAACAAAGAAAAATTACTCTTGCAAACTTCTCTTGTTAACAATGCAGGGATATACTTATTATTCTCAAATAAAATATTGATCAACATACTCAAAGTTCTCATGTCCTGTTCATTATTTTATTGTTGTCCAAACTTTTTATTAACCATCTCTAATCCTCTTACTTGGGTCTAACATGATTGTCAAGCCTAGATAGTGTGGGTCTAGCATGATTTTCATACCCAAGTAGCTTAAACCTAGCAATCATACCAGACCCATATGTTTTTTTTAGAAATATAGGAATTTACTTATAATTCTTTTAAAAATATATTTATTTTGTATTTTTTATCTTTGTTTTTTTAACCAAATATATTTTTATCTTTTCTTTTTTGGAACATTAATCACGCATATCCCTAAAATTCACTCAATATTTTTTATTAATCTTTATTTTTAGTGAACAAATCATCTAGAAAATTGTATAAATTAAGATAGGACAATAAGTCTTTAACATATACAATATTTTTCTTTAAAAAATTGTTCAACACTTGTATGTAAACATAAAATTAATATTTTCATCCGTAATACATACAAAAAAGGAAAGTTTATTTTTAAAGACTTGAAATAAATCACTTAAAACTCAACATTTTTTTTTCCATTCCTTCCTCTTCACATATAACAAATTCATAAAATCAGTTGCATAAACAAAAAAGAGTTTGCAATTAAGTTATATAGCATATGAATGAAAAATCCTACTTAAATAAGACAAAGTTTGTTTTTACAATTTAAATATGCTTTTGAAAAATTTTAAATTTTTTAACCTAGATGCTCGGGGCTGGCAACCACGTCAAACTCATGTGTCTTAGGTCTGGTAAACCATGTTAAACCTATTGCGCATGGGCATAGTAACCATGCTAGACTCACACGCCTCAGTTTGTCAGCCTAACGTTTGGATCTGGTAACCATGTCATACTCATACTTGGGTTTACCAAACCCGCACTTGAATCTGACAAACATGTCATCCTGCACCTAGGTATGATAAACATATCTAATTTGACAAACAATAAATAAAAATGATAATTATGTACTTTAGTTTTTGAAAAATAGAAAAAATAATAAGAAAAAACACAAATAATTGATCACCAACAACAATCCAACTATTATTTGTCTATATGTGTCACACCATTGGGAAAAAGACATGGCTATATATGTAATTAGATGACATATGGCCAAATTTGGCCACCAAAAAGCATCATACACGTCTCTTTAATGTTGCGAGTATCACTCATTCCTTGAGACATGAGGATCACACATCCATAGCTTTTTAATTAAAAATAAAATACTAAAACACCTCATTATGGTCCTTTTAATTACACAAAATGCCCATGTAAAAATGTCAAAATACCCTCAAAGGCAAAGTTTCTTTTTTATCTTTTCTGAAGCTAGAAACATTATTTGACTATACTTGAAAATTGGAAAAACCCAAATACCATTATGGAAGAAAACCAAAAAAAATGTTTATCCAATCATGAAAAGATGAGAGATTAAAAATAAAACTACTATTACAATCCATAGTAAATCGTCTCTTAATCTACAATGATTTTTCCACACCATTTAGTTTTTGTTATAATTTGTTATTTTTAAAGTCAAGATTTTATTTAAATAAAAACTTTTTAATGTGAAATATTAATACTATTAAAACAAATTATATATGAATTAAAAATTGATATCAAATAATCTATTTGTGAAATATAATCATGAAATCTATAAAAAATGGACCTATATAAAAAATAAAACTTTATTGTGGTTTATATAGTGAAAAGTTGAATAGTCATAGATAAATGTTTTTTAAAAAATGGTATGAGTTTAACTTTCATGCAAGAATGGAGCCATTAAGAGCAAAAGAAGGCAATTGTCCTCTTAATTATTTTTTAAAATATTTTTTATATTAAAATATTAATATACACATCCTATATCTTACAAAAACATAAACAAAAAAAGAAAGAAAATAGAAAATAGCATGGCTAGCACAAAAAACTATAGATTTATATTTCAACAATTTCTATCTTTCCATTATTTTTTTCTTATCAATTTAGTTGTATCTTCTTTCAAATAGATTGGTCTCTCTTTAGTTTTGTCTTTTTCTTTCTTTATTTATCTATATTGACTGAATATTTGTCATACTTACTTTTTAAAATTACAGGATTGTTATGATTCTTGAATTTTTAGTGTCAGTTTCTTTTCCAAATCTCTAAATAACAAATTTAGTTTGAGTTATTTCAGTTTTTTTTTTGTGTTTCAAGAAATTTTGAGAATTTTGTATTTAAGTTTTAATAGATAGCTAATAAAAATCAAATTTGTAGAGCTTATATTTTTGTCTGCCAAATAAAAATTATATGAATGACTTCATATTTTTTAGACACAGATGTGCTTCCATATATTCTATTAGCAATTCTAAAATTACTGGATCACTTATTATTTCATTATTCATTAATTAGAGATTGAAAAAATAATTGCCATGTTTATAAACATAATTTTGTTAATAAACATGTTTTGTATTTGTTATCTTGAATGACTAATCTAGATTTATGCTATATAATACTTGGCACAACAAATGCTTGGCACTTTCATAGTATATACTGTATGATATAACCAACACTTGAGTTGTGAAAGAAACTTAATTTGTTGTTAACATAAGTTATGATTATGAATGTCTGACAATATGTATAAGTATTAGTATTGATCAAATAAGATAACTAATGTAATCATGTTAACAATTTGTAATCTGATTGGAACCTCCTTTATGTGTGGTTTCTAATTGAATAATAAAAATTTATACTATACTTGTTTGACATACCATTAATGGATCTTCTAACTTTGATATTTATTGTTATCGTTTTTTAATCCTTATTTGGATATTTCATCTCAAGATTATCATCAACTTCTTCTTCTTCTTATTTTTATTCTATTACTACTATTACTATTATTAATATTAGTATTAGTATTCTTATTACTATTACGATTAGTAGTACTACTACTATTGTTGTTATTACTATTATTGTTGTTATTGTTATTTATAATTTGTACAATTAACCTCTTTGTGGTTCGACCTTGGTCTTGTCGGGTTATTTATTGCTTCAATACTCTTGCACTTGGGAGAATATATTAATTTTTTGATCGTGTCATCTTTTTACCAGTTTTGATCTACATCATGAAAACTTCACAACAACCATGTTGAAGTTTTCAAGACCGTTATATTTAGAGTTGGTTTCTCAACTTCAAAATTTTAATCAATGCTATAACTAGTTCTCCTCTCATAAAGACATCACAAACATAATTATCAACCATAAAAATAAAATTTTGATAGGATTAATTCAATTGAGAAATTGTGTATATGAATACTTATAGTGAATTAGAAATCCTAAGATCTACTTTATCTTGATTTCAACTTATTTTTTTAATTACTTGTTTGCTTTCATATTATCTTTTTAATTTTAGCAATCTTTTATATTTGATTTGTCAAATAAATTGTGATTTAATAAATTTTAGTATTTATTAATAATTTTTGCCAAAATTCTCGAGAGACAATACCCTATGCATTCATTTTGTTACTTGTTATAATTCATGGGCATTTTTACTTTGACCAACAAAAATACAAACATATTCAAACTTAGCACCTTAGAAAATTAACCTATCTTCTCGGCATTCACATGATTGTTAAGACTTTGAATAAATTTGTAAAAAGTATCATCAAACTCAGACTAAATTGTATCTAGACGATTTTAAAGTCATGTCCTCACGTTCATCTAAGTCTATCCAAAAGAATAAATTCTCTTGAAGTTAAAGCTCAAGAAGTAGGGGAATAAACAAATCTGTGGAATGAGTACAGATCAATTTGTAATGGCTCCGTGTTTAAGATTTAAACTTCATATAATTGTTATCAATCAAATTTTCAAAGGTCTTGATCAATTTGATAACTTCTCGGTTGTTTCGTTGCAAAAGTAAGGATAAGAACGCAAAGTTACTGAGAGATCTACCCATGTAAGTATTTTAAAATCTTGTATAGATATATTCCGTATGTATGGATAGATTAATTGATCAAATTCATGGCTCGCCGCCTGTATAAAGGTGCGGGATGAGGTAGTTTCAATATTTTTATTTAAAAATATATTAAAATATTTTTTCTATATTTTTAAAATTATTTTTAATATTAAAACATTAAAAAAATTAAAATAATATAATTATAATTACTTTTCAAAATACTTTCAGTTAAAAATATATTAAAATAATATTTTTATTTTTTAAAATTATTTTTCACATCAACAAATCAAAATAAAATAAAAAATTTAATTTAAAATAAAAAATATAATTTTTTTTAAAATACTAGCTCCAAAACAGTACTAGCGATGAGGGTTCAATAATTAATAGCCTTAATCTAAAATCGGTTTGGGTTCTACCCAGTGACCACTGACAAACTCTGAACTTTTGAGACCATCCATGTTCGGAGAATTGCTTACAATGCCTCCCCACAAGTGTCTGCATCACCATCTTAATACCAAAATGTTTGATAGAACATGTTTTCACGTAAATATGCTTTGGTTAGGTTTCTCTTTCTTCTGTATAACATTTCAAAACCATATCATAAGGCGGAAGGACAGCCGCCAGCCGCAGCTCTCTATAATTAGCGAAGCCAAAATAAGGCTCCCAAAGCCTTCATCGTGACATCAGATACATACACAAAGATTCACCAGGAAAATGGAGCTCACACGCAACTTCACAAATCACGTAATCTTTAAAACTCGAAAGAGTGAACAAAAGCAATATAATCTCTCACCGGATGCAATCAATTCGAACAAGAAATCTAGCATCGAATTTTCTCTAGTTCAACAAACTAGTAAAGCTAACAGGCTCGGAAATAGAAAAACCAGCAAAACAACCAGCCATATCACATAAACAGGTTGGGCCTGGATGCGTTGTATGTTGTCTTGAGCTTCCTGGATGGGGGTCTAACCTTCTTGAATACCAACGGGAATTTGATTTTGGAGTTGTGGAACTGCTTGGTACTCTCTCTCTTGCAAAGCTTAGCTGGGATGGTAGCTGTCTTGATGATTTGGATGCATGGAAACCTCACCCTATGGCGAGATGCCATCTCAGTGTACATTTGTTCAACAGCACCATTAAGGGTTGTGTCTCGGTATTCCTTGTACATGTTGTGGTACCCAGTTCGGCTCTGGTATCGCAGCCATATTCCATAATTCTTGATCGTGGTAGGATTCTTCTCAAAAATCTACAATCAGAAAATAATTATTAGAAGATGCCACAACTGTCCTTCCAGGTGGTAATTTATTTACAAATACCACGACTTTTGCTAATAAAAAAATGCATCTAAATCCAAGCAAAAGAATTATGATTCCAAGCAACTAGCAACATTGGAATGGACAGGTACCACAGTGGCACATTTCCTGTTAAAGGATTTAACTAGCTTATTCATCATATCAGTATTATACTTCCCTTAATTAATATGAAATTTTGGCCCACAAAGTTATCAAGCAAAAGAGCTATACAACATTCATCATGTAACATCAAAATCTCAATTATCCAGATGCATTATGCAGAAACTACGAGTCAAAATATACTCTCATATACTTTACATATCACAAGAATACTGGTAAATTTAAGCTCTAACAAACTAATACCAGTAGTTAAAGAAACAAAATAAAAAATCACAGACTTATTTCCATACACCCACCTGAATAACCAGGTCAAGTTAATGTGATCAACACCACATAAAAACTGAGGTATTTTAAGCCATAGAGCATGTGAATACAATTGGCCTTGGCCCGGATATTTATTTCCAGGGAAGTAAATTTTATGTGTTACTTAAAAAGCCACAGCCTTATTTCATGCACCCGTGATATTGGGATGGTATGAATCACAAAGTAACAAGTGATTCACACAAGTTATAGTTTTCGCTCACCACTCTAAGGTACAAAACCAAAGAGATACAGATACAAAATGAAGAACTCACCACTCTAAAGTTACATATCACTCACCACTTTATTTAGAGATACAAAATTACAGGAATAAATTCACCACTTACAAAGGAGATACAAAACTTGATAGATTGCCAAAAGACCAAGTCAAAGACTTTTCAATTAACATTTTTCAACAAGATCCGAATATATGGTCTGAGTTATTATTATATAGTTGGAACAACTCTCCAAGTCTAGGGGAAACACTAAAATGACATAATTGAGACCCAAATAAATGACTTGAACAGAAAACCAGACAAATATTAGCCAGCACAAGTTTTTGACTTTCTAAAAACGCAAACACTTAGAAACTAAACAACCATAACTTTATGTAGAAAATCCCAATGTATGCATGGTTGGACAATTTGAAAAGATCGCACTTTGAACCTGAAAACCACATATAATAGGCTTATCCCCCCATGCAATGAAGACATGCAAATCCAGATTCAAAGTTGGCCCATGGGCTGATAGTAAACATCATCAAGGATTTCTTTCATTTGAATTGCCAATCCAAACTCAAGCAACTCAACATTAGTAGGACCATTAAAGACAACCCACCTCAATCAACTCCCCAAGTAGTTGAGATCAACCAACACATTTTTGCATGTTGGCGGGATCCACTTACACAAAAAAATGTAGGTATTTTATTCCATATAGCATGTGAATAGAATTGTCCCTAGCCCCAAGAACTTATTTCTAGGGAAAGTAATTTTTTAATTTAAGGAGCTTGGTAGCTTGATTTTTTAGTTAGAAAAAAAGGATGCTTGATTATGAAGTAAGCCAATCAAATTGTTACTAAAACCTACTTTACAAACAATTTGAAACCATTTCTATGCTAAAATTGATTTCATTTCTAGCAATAAAGTTGAATTCATCTGATTTCTAATTCAATTTCTATGTTTGTAACAAATCTGAAATGGGTGAATTCAATCCTAACAGTCTATTACCAACAAAATAACAAAATAAACAAAGCTTTGTGATGTTACCATATTAACCTCAGAAATCTCATCACATAAAAATGGTAATAAGAGTTTTAAAAAGCTGATCCATCCCAATTGTAGGAACCCATTTTTTGAATAAAAATTTTTCCCACATAGTGTGAACTTTTAAAAACTAGAGTATGGTCTTACTATACTGAAACTGTTGTTTTATAGCCCATTTTACTAATTTTCATTGTTCAGTGTCTTTGGCACTATCAATAACCACTCTGAGGCTTTGCACAGTAGCTTCAGACCTTAATAGGGAAAAAATAATCATAGATTGATCTCAAACCAATAATTGAGGAAGATGCAACCATTTCAAAAAACAACATTCCTACCCCTCAACACCAGGAGTTTAGCACATAAGAAATTATGAAATCCATAACCTCAAATGAAGATAAATAGTTATTGGACCATAAATCTTAATGGGGCATCCTAAAAGGTAAACAACTATTTTCACATATCATGCCCATAGGAACCTAGATATAAGAGAAATTAGTGTACAGCTTCTTTAGACTACTAAGTTGCTCCAAGCAGGGGAAATTTGAAACTTTTTGTGCTTCTCTTGTTTTAAATTTTCCACTACTAGCTTTAAAACACAAAACACTTTAACTAGCAAAAAACAAAGACAAAGATTTAACATAGAAGGCCAATTAAAGGTTGAAGAAGAACGAGAAAAACGTCGAGCAAAAATAGCAAGGACACCTAAAAGCCACAAATCTTATTGTCGTAGTTAATAAATCAAGTTATCCAACATGCCAGAGGCAATGTAATAAAATCCAAGAGACTGTACACTAAGATTTCAAATAGGTCATATTTTTCATTTCCACTTGTCAGCATATGCTTCATGTAACAATTAAAAGAATAAACAGCAAACAATGAACGGAAACAGTCATCACAGTCTTTGTTTCAAGCAAGCCAAAAACTGGGAAATTCAACGCCACAGATATACATGAGTCACAAAGTAAGCAACAGCAACCACTCACCACCACTTCATTTGTCAATACCATCAGGAAGACCAGTCAATTAAACAGTAAAAATGAAAAATACTTCAAAAAACGAGAGGCCCAAATAAGCTCTCGTACCTCATTGATGGCAAGAACTTGTCCATTGCTCTTCTTGACTTTCTTAAGCTTCCTCAAGAAGTACCTATAATCAAAAAGAGGCATCACAGAGTTAGCGAAATATTAGAGAGCAGCAAAGACAGATATTATGGCAAACAAAAAGAGAGAGAAGTGAAAATAGATACATACCAGAACTTGGATTTGGCACGGACCTCGTTAGTTGCCCAAAGCTTCATGCGGTAGATCTTAGGATGCTCATCGCTCTGTGTTGGAAGTGCTCTCCCGACCACCTGGTACTGGTGAAACTGTTTCCCCCCACAAAAAACAATCAACCATCTTTCTGTTTAGATCCATGAATGACGAAACACAACATAATATAATTAAGGATGTTAATGTCACATACCCTGAAGGTAACCATTTTTCAAAAAATTTCTTTGCTTGGGAGAGAAGCCGGCGGCCAGCACCAGTAACGTTTCCTCCTTTTCTCTCTCTTTTTAAGCTTCACAGAAATAGCATCAGAGTATGCGTTTGAAACCCTAGCTTCCTTCACGCGGATAGTTTTGTTAGACTGAACCTTAAATGGTCTAGCAAGGCCCAGCCCAAGTACTTGTTTACTGTGGGCTCAACACCAGACAAGCCCAGCTCCTCGTCTCCTGGGTCCTTAGGATAGCGACAAATATCCCCCGCGGAAATCATATTGAATAATTATTCTAGAGAAAGTGGGTCTCTCAAATGAGAATTTAGGATTTTATATTTCCTTAATTATATTAACAAAAAAGATAATTTATGCTGTGAAAATATTGTTTATTTAGACTCATAGATTACAATAGTTTTTTTTATATATATTTTATGCATTTTTTATTTTGCTTTGTGTATTATTATTTTTTCAGTTCATATACTTTTTTTTTATTTGTGTGTTATTAAATAAATGAGGCAATACCCTTTTTTCATCTTGTATTTATTATTAATTTATGCATTAAATAAATAAGGCAATGATATCATTAATAACACCTGTTTGTTATCATATTAGGATTCTTAATAATATTAGAAGAGTTGTTGTGGTTTACTTGAAAAATAGTGTCATGTTTGTTTAAAATAATGGTCTTCATTCTTTTTATTGTACAACAATTGTGTTTTCTTTTTGATTTAACTAAAAATTGAAAATTTCCTCTTCTTTTTTAGTTTATAGCCAAATGTCTATTCTTTTAGTTTATTTGTCTCAATGCATGTGATAAACTTCTACTACGAGTGTTTTTGGATTTTCCTTTGTATTGTGTTTTTAGTTGATCAAATGTCACTTTTGGAGAGTCATTATGGCAATGGTTTTTCTTGCAGATGGGTTTTGAGGTTTCCAGTATACTATTTTTTGTTTGTTTCTCTTAGGTTCAACTTTGTGCATTTCTTTAGCCACTAGTTGTTACACCATTAGCTTAGTCTCTTTTTTTTTTCTCCATTGCCTTTCTTGCTAGTTGTTACATTATTATTTTAGTCTTTTTTCTCTCTCTATTACCTCTCTTACTATCTTTGTTTTGTTTTTTTTATGATGCATTTTTTTGGAGTGTTATTTCATTCAGAAACGATCGATTTTTAGGTGTTACACATGTGGTAAACATTTGTGACATTCTTTTGCTTAGTTAACATCCCTATCATAATGCTTCTCGTGCACAACTTCTACATTAATGTTGGTTCTTTCTGCAAGATTTAGTTAAGGTTTAATGTTATTTTATGTTAGAATTTCCATCTGTTTCTTTTATTATTTGCAGGGTGGCTAATCTTATTTTTATTTTTCCTTACATTTCATTGTGCTTTTAACTATATATACTGCTCTATTTGCTTTGCTTTGTTCCTTTTTCCTCCTTACATTGTATTCTCACCATAATTAATTTGTGTGTTGCGTTTATTTTTAGCAGATTTGTTGAGCTTTTCTAGCATTTTTGTTGTTGGGTTGTTGCTTTGTTGAGATTAAGATTGCTTGATTTACTCTTCTAGTATGTGTAAGTATTTATGGTCTGAAAAATTAATGATGGTCTCTTTCTTACTTTGTTGGACTGTGTTACTAGCTTCTCTGTTTTTTGATATGCTTTCTAACCAGCCATTGAAGATATTGCTTGTTAGGAGTTTGTTTTAAAAATTATTTGTGCTCTATTTTCTTCCCTTTTGATGGTTATCAAATTTATACTTTAAATTCCCATCTTTATTTATTTGGCCAATTCATGTTGTAATTTACATTTATTCTTTTCATGGCTTACCTTTTTTATTCCAGTCATTCATTTAGTGCACCATAAAGTGTTTTTTTAAGTTTGGCACATTGCTTTGAATAATTGGTTGGTCATGTTAAACATTTTGTTATTCCTTTGCTATGCCAAGATTGCACTTTAGGTGCCATAATATCTCTTCACCTCGAACAATTTGATTAATACTTAAAAAGTATATTTTTATCAAGGTTTTATAACATTATATTGCATTTAAAGCATCATTAAATTTCTCAACCTAAACATGTTTTATAATAACAAGTCTGATACTTGATCTATTTGAGGAATTGAATAAGATAGTTTATGAAACAAAAATTAATGATTAAAAACAAATAACTAATTGATTAAATATTAATAAATTCAATTATACTGGTTCTAGGATTTCTGACTTACCGTAACTATGCCTATATGAACTTTCTTGATTAAATTAGTTACTCCTAATGTTGATAATTAGGTTTTTCTTATGTAAATATTAATCTCTCTTGAGCATTAATAAATTATTTCAACAAACAAATTTCATATACTCTATAAAAGTTCTAAACTTGTCAAAATTTACTTAGTATTGTAAAACCTGTAATGATTACAAAAGTTCTTAGGATATCTCTATCCTATAGATTTCTTATGCTATTTCAAACAATAGCTAAAACAATAATCACTTCTTAGTTTCAAATTGAATTCTAAATCATGTAGATGTTGGCCAAACACAAGCAAGCATTACATATAGAATGAAATACTCAACATCTTAATATAATAATTCAATCGAAGAAATTGTTCACATAATCATAGTAAGGTTAAATAAAAAATCCCAGAATAAAAATTTACTTTATGGTTAAATTAAAGAGAAACAAACTTAATACAATGAACATCACTTAAAAGCAGAGAATTTTTGTCGAATAGATTGGTGTCCTCTCGGTTTTTAATAGTTTTGTCTTTGCTCTTTTTTTGTTCCTTTTTGGTGTCACCTTCTCTTTTTTTCTTTCTATGTTGTAGGGTTTCTACGTGTCTTCACTCTCCTGTTTTCAGATCCCCTTATCTTTTTTATATTGTGGCTTTTCTACCCCTATAATAATGAGGAAAGTTTCCTTTTTCGCATTGAATTCCTTCCTACCCAGTCATTGCAGGTCAGATTTGAGGTAGAAAACATACGAATTCAAATATCTCTATTTCTGGAGAAATTGTAGAGAATTAAATTTTCTTTCCAACGAATTTGATATTGTAATTTTTAGACATCTAAGAGTTGAGATAAAGACCATAAACCGAAACAGTCTTTGCAGTGCAAGAATTTCAGGTTGGTTCAATCCTTGTTTTTCAACTCGCCTTTTGGGCTTCGAAACAACAAAACTGAGTTATATGCCCTACATATGTTTTGTAGACCTTTATCTTAACTATTTGAAAATGGTGACGAACATCGGGAACTAAGTTGTATAGCTTCTTTTGTAATACATAATGAATCATTATTTAGTTTCACTATCGGGCTCTGCCTGTTCAATAACTAATATTTGAAAACACATTAATTTTCCCATGAGATCAATAGTTCAAAAAAAGATTCAAAATTCTAATTTTCTTATGTAACATATCCAAAAAATTTAAAAATCAAGCATGAATAGTGGAAAATATTCATGCTAAAAATTCCTTTATCAATATTATAAGATAACTTTAATTTATGGTAAATGCTCATTTTAAATGTAGACATATCTCACAATTTAAAGGATTGATTGATGTGACTAATTATTAAAAGTGAAAGGATAAAAAAAAGGCTAAGCTTAGAAAAGAGATGATGATTCAATTCAAACTGGAACACTGTTCAATCATTGAATCATATCTTGAGTTGTAGATCTTGGATTTTAGTTTGGTTTATATAGCTAGAAAGCTAAGACATAGACTTACTACATTCATGAGAGTCCAAGACTCAATTCTACTATTTGGAAGTCCAAATCTTAGCATAAAAAAGAAGTCGGAATCTGTCTGCAGCCCAGATTAGTGTTCAGCACATATCTTGAGTTCTAGAAGTTCAAATGATCTATTTTTATTGTTGGAAAGTTGAGACAATTTTCTATAACTTTCATAAAGACTGTCTATTCAAATTTTAATGTTATTAATGATGTTTTATTCAGACAAGAAGATAAAGATAGTCACAAAGTCAAGAGGTGATCACTTACTAAAAAATTAGTTAACAGATCAATAGTTTCAAATTTTGGCTTATAAAAGGAGACATTTGCCATGCATTTAAGCATTTTTTTTTATTTTCAAATCAAAATCATGTTCTTGCTCTCTCTTTATATTTTTGTAATACTTAAGTTTTGCTTTCATTAATCTCTTGTTTATATTTTTCATTTTATTTCCTTTACTTAGTTAACTTATATCTTATTTATATTTTTATCTTGTTTATTTACGTTTCTCTTTTGACATTACTAAAAGATTGATGTTTTCTCTCAAATGTAGGAGTGTCAAAGTAATAAATAACGCGGCAAGATTAGGGTTGAACCACATGGAGGTTAATTATATAAATTATAAATAACAATAATACAACAACAATATTTGCAGTGCAAGAATTTTAGGTTGGTTCAATCCTTGTTTTTCAACTCGCCTTTTGGGCTTCGAAAGAACAAAACTGAGTTATATGTCCTACATATATTTTATAGACTTTTATCTTAACTATTTGAAAATGGTGACGAACATCTGAAACTAAGTTGTATAGCTTCTTTTGTAACACATAATGAATCATTATTTAGTTTCACTATCGGGCTCTGCCTGTTCAGTAACCTAATATTTAAAAACACATTAATTTTCCCACGAGATCAATAGTTCAAAAATAGATTCAAAATTCTAATTTTCTTATGTAACATATCCAAAAAAATTAAAAATCAAGCATGAATAGTGGAAAATATTCATGCTAAAAATTC